TTTTCGCTTCTCTTTCAGGCTACCTCTATCGACCAGTGCCATCAGCAATCACTCGTCAAAGGGATTGATCTGATGAACTCAAATCAGCATTGAACTCAGTTAAGCTGGGGTTGCAATTGAAATCACAGTGCCAACTTTTAATTTGCTGCTTAGTATAATTCGATAGAGCTAGCTAAGAGACAAGAGAAACGAAGGACCCGCATGGTGTGGTGGTGAACGCGTTAGCCCACGGAAAGGGTAATAGCGCGCTCGCTCCCCATCGCAGTCCTCGGCGGTTCGGAGTTTTGCAAATATCTCATCATTTTGTTTAACGTTTTGTTTTCTGCCTTCTATAATTTTCATGGCAGGTTACTAAGCGAAATACAACCACAACGTTGCTGAGATATTTGCAAAACTCTGGACCGCAGGTGTCTATGGTGGGGAACGAACGCGCTATTATCCTTTCCGGGGAGTAACGCGTTCACCACCACACCACGCGGGTCCTTCGTTTCGCCTGCCTCTCAGCTAGTTCTATTGTTCTTTTGCCATCATCAATTACCCGTCAGCAGGTTTGATCTGGGAAACAGGCGAAACGAAGGACCTGCATGGTGTGGTGGTGAACGCGTTGCTCCCCGGAAAGTACGACAGCGCGTTCGTTCCCTACCGCAGACACCTGCGGTCCGGAGTTTTGCAAATATCTCAGCGACATTAAAGATATATGTATATATATGTGTATATTTATATTTCTACCCCTCGCAACGGTTTACTGCCTCATCGTGGCTAGGTGGTGCCGTGCTGTGATGTACAGCGGGAGGCCTTGGCAGGATCTCCGAATCTTAAAAGGAGTCCAGCGTTTCCATCGGCCATCGGGGAGCCTAGCTAAGAGTAAACCAATACCAGGATCCACCACCATCCTGGTATTAAAGTTTCATGGTGGCAAATCTCTCTCTGATCCACAAGAGCTGCGACTGCCTGTGATGGTGAAGACCACAGGCAGATTGTCGCCAGGCCGACCTCGGGACTCAAAGGAATCACAATGGCATAACCAGCAAATCTCCGAAAAATGGAGGTCACGTTTGGGACTCCCACAACCTGTGAGGACAGGCCATTCAAGTATCAAGCATAAGTATATATCGACCGGTCATTATCTCAATCCTATTGCGGTGGACTGCATTAAGTATCGTAGAAGTTATTTTATATTTACCCTTTCTATACAAGGACTCGAGGTAGCCTCACAATGTATTATGTCAGCGTTTTTATCTTGCTAGAACTGTTGCACCATTTTTCCGGCTGCTAATAGATTTGAAGTTTGGTTTTTCTGCGCGCTAGCGAACCAAAGATCGGTGTGGTAGGGCGGTAATCCTGTGAATAGGGTTTTTTCAGTAAAGTAGCGATTCTTGGGATGGAAGCGATTTCTGTGACCGGCCGAACCGTTTAAATGCGAACGATCCTGATCTTAGTTTTGGCAGCTTTTTGGATAAACACGAAGAACCCTAGAATGAGTAAAAGGAAAGAGTGCCCCGAGATAATATGTGATCTGGCCCCGTACCTTCGCATCGACTTTTGTTGTGGGGTGGTGCAGTCATCGACCGCATGTGGCTCTAATTCGCTGTTCTCCTTCAGGGGAAGGCACGTAAAAAGCGGTGAATTTTTCAAGAAGCTGTTGATCGTGTGATTACTGTATAGATTTTCGTCTTTCTTTATGTGTTATTGAAGCGTTTGTCCTAGTATCCAGGCTCTGAAGAAGGCGATACTGCCGAAACGTCAGCTTTAAGGCGATAAAGAATAAAGTACCTCTTGTTTGCTCAACAAAAATAACGAAAACTAAAGCAAATTTATCAATTTAATGCTATTGTGTTTTAATCGCAATGAAAGAACGCAGCTTCCACATTGAATGCTTCTGCACTCCCCTACAGTCAAAAACCAACCGTCCACGTACATGTCTTCCAACAATTTGTGCGTTTACGTCCTATTTTAAAAAGTGCATCTCCTTTTAGCTTTTAGTGGATGTTTAGTGGAAATTATGCTGGGGTCCATACAACCAGTAAAGACGGGTCATCCAAGTATCCAACGAAGTAAATTAAAGCCCCTCTTTCTTGATAGCAAAATCGTGAGAGCATAAAAGACCGCTCTCTCTCACTTTCATCGATTTGAAGAAGTGATTTGATTCAATTGGGATAGAAACAGTCATGGAAGCCCAGGAGATTCAAGCAGTACTTACTGAGTAGATAAGGATTCTTCGTGAGCTGTATAAAAATTTAACAACCGAGATATCACCATTCTATAACGATATTAACACATGGACGTCGAAAGAGGAGTTAGACAAGGCGATACCACCTCTCCAAAATTATTTACCGCCAGCGTCCAAGACGTCATGCGAACATTGGAATGGGTTAATATGGGAGTGAAAATCGATGGTCGGCAGTTACAACATCTTCGTTTTGCTGATGACATCGCCCTTATAACACCAAACATTAGTCAAGCGAAACGTATGCTTGCCGACTCTGACAAAGTCTGTGAAAAGATTGGTCTTCGACTAAATCTCACAAAACGATGTTCAAGAGGAACGGATTGGTTTCGTACGCCCCATTCACGCTCAACGGAAGGAATATCTCCGATGTATCCAAGTATGTCTATTTAGGTCGGGAAATCAATATGATGAACGACCTAGCTCAAGAGCTGAGCAGAAGGAAACGAGCACCTTGGAGAGGTTTCAAGAGCATCGAGGATGTAGTGAAGATAATAGAGAACACCGACTCCATGCCCATCTTTTCGACTTAACGGTACTTCCTGCCCTAACGTAAGCGTCAGAAACCTGGTCGCTGCGTAAGCAGGATGAATGGTCACTCAACGTTATCGAACGCGCAGTCGAATGGACGATGCTAGGAGTATCCCGTGTCACGCAAGTAAGGGATGGGATCCGAAGCTCCGACCTCCGTCAACGATCAAAAATCACAGATGTCGTTCTGTACGCCTAACAGTCGAAGATAAGCTGGGCCGAACACGTAATGCGTATGAATGACAACCGATGGACAAGAGCCGCCATTAGTGACTGGATTCCTTGGGATATCAAACGTGCTGCAAAAAGACCACCGACCCGATAGTTAGAGTTCTTTATGAAAAGCCTAGAAGAAAGGTATAACACTTAGCGAGTCCCTAGAGCAAGCAAAACCCACTGGACTACTATTGCACGTGACAGGGAAAAATGGAAGATTTATGGGTGCCCGCCCGAGTCACCCGACGATCAACGGGTCTACAAATGATACAGGTGATGCAGATAATATAGCTGAATGCCTATACCGCAAACATGATATCCCTGAGTAGTTGCCCACCGCAATGTGAAAAGTGTAGCGCTGTGGCTAGAGGCACCGTGCAATACACAGCCGTTCTCTGGTTGGCTTCCACGTTCCAGACCAAGTAAGCTTGCCTCTGAAATTACGTTGATGCTTCTGAGAGATTAATCAAGCTCGAATGCTGTTTTTTTATTTTTTTTTGTTTACTCTATACAATATTTCTCCTATAATAGTCGAATATGTTATCAAACGTTCAAGAAATTTCTATTCTAGCCAAGAATTCGAAAAATAGTGCTAACTTCTCTCCCTTTTCAACATTGGGATTTCTTTCACCAAGTTTCAGTGCACATGCGAAGAAAAGTGAGTACATTGAATATAAATAACACCAGAAGATGCTTCTATAGCACCATCCCGTTCAAGTACTGCGAATGTATCTGATTTAAAAATCCTGTATTCAAATCTCATTCTTTCCGATATTGCAAGCTTTAAGCAGGCAAGCTGCTTGTCTTCGTTAGTAACCATGTTCTACTGTATTAGAAAATACGTTCTTCGACATTACTGATGCGTCGGATTTGTTACGTGATTTTATTTAAACCTGCAGCATGGAGAACCGTAACGTCGTGAGCAGATATATGCATTTTCTAAGTAATTACATGGATCACTTAAACTCAATTGTATTCTAGAGCAATTTTGCGTACCATCATGGATTTTTAAACTTATTGCTTTGTTGTCTTGTGGAGATCCAAGAGCCGCCGAAAATGTTCGCCAAAGAAGTTTTGCTGCTTTGCGACTGCAATTCTTGCCAGATGACAACGATTTCTATGATTGGTCTATTGGTACTCAGTCAGACTTTTTTTTTACTAAGAATTTCGATCTTCTTCTGAGCTACGGTGCATGTGTTGACTATGAACCTATTGCCTTCCATCATTACATCTGCGCTCAATAACACCAACCGCTTACGCGAAGGAAGTGAACAATTCTGCAGATTTTCTGCCATTTTTGAGGGGAATAAATATTTTTCTTTCTACTTCTGTTCAGCAAACACGAGGTGCTATTTTATTTCTTTATTTACGCACAAGCTGACGTTTCGGCGGATTTCGCCTTCCTCAGAGCCTGGAAGAGTCAAGTTGACAGCAATCCACTCGGCCAAACACCTCTATAACCAAACAGAGAAAACGCTAAACCAAGATTTCAATCACATTTAGCATAGTCCTGCACACTCACCGCTTTCTATGAGTCTTCCACTGAGTATGTCGTGTGAAGACCGACCGCATAGAATTCACATGGAAGCGTAATGTGCCCCTCCCATCAGAATAACAGTTTTATATACTGTTCAATATCACGCGCGATAACGAGGCATTCCTTGCGGTTCATTTTCGGATTCTTGGAATTAATCCAGAATGCCTCTAGAGTTTTTAATATTTAAATAAACGTTTTTCAATCGAAGTAATTTCTAACGCTATTCATAGGCTCTTAAGCAATATGAACCTGCTCGCTGCATCATTATGAAGTCATTATACTAGGAATTCTAGTAAGCATCCTGAGGAAATTCTATCATCAAAATTGTAGTTAACACAATGGTGTTTCGATCGTACTGTAATGAGGCTGTAATGAGGTGTTTGATCTTAATCAACAAATTTCTCATAAAATTTACCACTAAGCGTAAAAATCGGTGTCCATAAGTGTAACCTTTGAGACGTGGGAAACAAATCTAACACAATGTGTTTCATGCGCGTGAACGAGTTAGGAAATAATAAAACACCGATATATAGCCCGATATGAAGGGTACAGGAGTAAAGTATAGTTGAGAAACTCACTGTATTCTGAATTTGGAGAAGGTTTCCACGTAACAGACGTCCGTGAAAACTTTGTGTTCAATGTAATGCACAAGGAACCTACTACAAGCTGATAAGATCTCGTCATTTTGAACAGAGTACAACTCAATCCTATACATAAGATCGATTTACTTCCACTTCAAACCATGAAGTAATCTGTTTCAACTGTTTTCCAAAAAAAAAATTCCTTTATTTCTTTTAAATCATTCGTGTTTTCATGAATGATTGCCTGACGTCCAATGCTTTACTACAGTTTAACACATCTAAGCATGCTATGTAAGTCGAGAGAAAAGGCCTTACATTTCACGTACTGCTGTAATATCTTAAAGCTTTATTCTTACAAATCTGAAGTTTTACAAATTTAGCTGGATACTTCTTCTCTATACCAAAGATGGAAGTTATCTCGGATAACTTTAGGCTAGGGTGCTGGTAAATCTGGTATGTTGTTTGGCGGCTGTGCTTGGTATACCGGCGAATGTGTTCGTTTTGGCTGCCATTTTTTACTTCCGGTGAGTAACTGAATAGGATTCTTGGTGTAATTATAAATTTTTTGTAAAGCTTTTACCCGCTCACTTCCAAACATATTGCTTTGTGATGTCGTACTTTTGTTATTCTATCGAAAAAATTCCATGACGACTTTCATGTATGGCTTACTTTTGGCCTGATACTGTACGCTTCTGGAAAGACTTTTCATTCATTACTTTCTAGGTGCTTCACCACCTCCACTTTTCTAGAAAGTTCAATCCCTCAAAGTCTAAAACAAAAAACACCAGTGGAGGAATCTAACCATATTCTTAAAAGGGATAAAATGCTCTGAACAAATGATGCATCAGCGCAAACGGAACCTTACGTATTTTTTTCGCTTTCTTCCCCATTTGGAAAAAAAGACTAATGGTTTTTTTTCATTATATCACCAATTACTAAACCTAGCTTCATATTTGCGTTCCGTCGATTGAATGACTTATCATATCTGCAAAGTATACAGATCAATGTAATGTTCAAATGAAGGTCTGGGTCCAATATGGCTCTATTCCGAGTACCAAAGCTCTAAAATAATTTTAGGAAAATGCGAACCATATCCAATATCTATATTGGAAATCTAGCCGTAGCCGATTTGCTGTTTCTTGCTGGAACACCGATCGTCATTACACAGTCTATTACAAAGGACTGGACCTTTGGCATTGTAGTGTGCAAAGGATTTGTAGCTGGAAACGGAGTACGTTTGAGTTCTACGCTTGGAAATATGCATAGTCCATCCCACAAAATTTCAATGAGAAGACATTGTAAAATCCATGAACTGTTCCTCTCATGGAATACTTTTGCCATTGAATGTCGTGAATGATGCAAACGATGTCATATGATCATTTTGTTATCAATACACTTTCAAAAGTTACGCGATATTCTTTGGTTTATCGAAAGCATACGTTTCCATGACCATACGCATAAAGGGCGGTGTTATAGCGTATCACCTTCACCACCCGTTCTCTCATCAATGATCCACTAACTGGGCATCACTAAGGCCTCTTTCGGTAACCATCGCGTTTCAGACCTCTCTAATAGGCAGCGTTTATTTGAGGAAGACGCGCACATCTTCACACTTATGAGATGAAACCCTCGTTTTTTAACTATTCACAGCGAAAGTTATTCGGGTAGCTCGTTGAGCAGAGCCACTTCGCTAGATATGTTTTCGCAAACGAGTAAACGTTGTCACATATATATATATATATATATATATATATATATATATATATGCGTAAATACGTAAATCTATTGAAGGCATTTATAGATGAGCCTTTGACCAAATTTGCACTTTCTTCTTCGTTTTTATCACTATTAAGGGATGCACTACGTAAATTCACTATTAGTACGATATGCCCGACATAGAATGAATATGTGGTTCTAAGCTGCTCTTTGTCAAGTTGTTCTAATTTAATTTAAAATTAAACTGCCGAAAATAGAGCAACTGAATCTGTAGTCAGCATTTTCTCTCCAATGAAATTTTGTCCAGCTTCAGTCTAAAATAGCAAGCCTACAACAAACATTTGTTTAATATAATTAACATCCCAAAAAAGTACGACTAGGCAGATGTGCTAGAATATGGTTTTTTTGGTCCTTAGAGAGTGCTATAGCCTAAAATTCAAATGGATATATATACATATATAAAGCCAGTTTAAGCGCCTTTTTAACACTAGATGAGAAGTACCTATTGTTCAGGAATGCGTGTTCATCGAAACTAAGTACTGAGAAGTGTAATATCTGCTTTAGATCTCGCAATTCGCATCGGCGATGTTCATAGCAGTACTGTCGATGGATCGGTTTCTGGGTGTATGTTATCCGATTCGGTCATCCATGCTACGAACACGACGTGCTGCAGCTATTGTCGCCATTCTCACCTGGGCTATCGTCGTACTCGAAATCACACCACTTTTCATGTTCATCAAACTCGTAAAAAATTCAAGTACGATGCATTACAGTTTTTGCCTATTTTTCCAAACGTCTTTATTGTTCATAACTCAAAAAATATTTAGTAAAGACACCCTTGATTTCGATAAATTAGGAGCCGTGTTCTAAACGTAGATGGCTTTAATCTATGGTGGTGCTTTACTGTATTTCATTCTCTGGGCACGTTTAGTACGGTGTTTAGAGATGCCCTGTAATATACGCGTCTTTGTTGTTTTGATACCGTGTTACAGGTAAACTAATCGGTCCATCATTTCAAGCTAGGCAATTGATAAAAGACTTTTTTAGGAGGATAAAAACACAGAATTAATAGATCGGTAGGTCCTCACAACTCCTTGGATAGGCTAAACAGGCACTCAATTCAGCTCTGCAACGTTTGATCAAGTCGAACAAATGCACTGTGGATTGAGTTGAGTTTCATTGCGAAGTGGGAAACCAAGTCCTCGATTGCAGACTGAGGGGAGACTTGGTTAACCTGGCAGTCGATCTAACGCCGGGCTTGCTCGTATTAAACTGCACGACCACCACTGACACGCGTCCTCAACATGCAGTAGCATATATCCGAAATTTATCTGTGAATCTAGGTGGTCCGAATGACCCGGGAAGGCACTTATGTGTGTTGGTTACCGAGGAAGACCGTGAAGATTTGGAAGGTGGCAAAATAGCTGCAGACAGAGAAACGCTATTTTCACGAAAGTAAGTAGAATAAGAAACCAGATTCCAGAACCAGAAGCCTGAAAGAGTTTGTTCAACAAGACTCTTCAGATTCTTCACAACCTACACATTTACACTGAGTTATCTAATTCCACTGAATGCAATTTGGATTTTCTACGCAAAAATCATTCGCAAACTTTGGAGACGACGGCAACAAACGCAACATAAGCACAAAATTTCCAGACGAAAAACTACAAAGGTTTGCAAATTTGCACCAGTTTCACAATTTGATGAGAAACGGCTTACAAAGCCGGAAAGTCATTTATTGTAAAAAAAAACGTTTCGAAAAAAAAACCTTCCTTTTCCCTGTATTTTTTAACGAATAGCAAAAAAAACTCTATATTATTGCATAAGAAGAGAAAATTTCTGCTGATACGCTTGAAGTTGCTCCATTCCATAGCTGACTCTCAGTCTAGGACAAAACTAAAGCGACAATTTATTAAGGTTTAGAGAAAAACTAGCAAAACGGCACATCAAGGGAATTTCGAGCACCATCAGTTGTTTCAAATATTTTGAATTAAAGACGGAGCAAATCTGTATTCATTTTGACACGTACCTGTGGTAATTAAAAATCAACCTTGATTTAAACACTTTCGTAGTACACCCTAAATCACCACAGTAGACACAAATTTGGCTTAATATTAATCATAATATTACTGGAAACAGCATTTCTTTAACACATACAGTTTTAGGAAATGCTGGTTCGATTTGTGAGTTTAGAAAAATCTGGAGCAGAATAAATGTTCTTTCAGTAATATGAACCTTTCAGGTTACTATTATGGGTCTTTCTATTGTTATCTCATATACACTATGCTGGTTACCGTATTGGCTTATTCAGTGGTCGATAGCACTCAATATTGGATGGAATAGGTAAGCATGTAAATGCAGAAAGCCGTAACTCCCTCCTCACTGATTTATCGTCTCATTAATGGGAACGAGTAAACCGAGAAATGCTGCAGCTTGCAGCAACTTCTTCATCACCGAAAGTACCGTCGAAACTGAACAGTTCGACATTTGCATTCCAAATCCAAGCTATAAATAATCCTATGCTATTAGTATGCTCGAAAATTAATGACCAATACGTAATTTTATGCGTATATGGCGCAGTAGTTGGAGGCGCCACTGCGACACACACGTGGAATCGATCCCTACTCTCATAGCCCGCCAAGCCTTTCATCCCTACGGGGTCGGCAAATTAGTACCAGACTTATCTGGGAGGATAGCAGTATTGACTCGATACATTGGTAGGCCACCGCGAGTCATTGTAAAGGCCAGATATGCATTCAACAACCTCCAACGATACTTAATGAAGTCGAATGCATGGCGCATCCCTCAGGGATTGATAAACGCCAAGAGCTCTAGCTTTTTTTGATTTATGTAAATTTATTTTCGCTTCACATGTCTTGGCTAAAGTTTCTTCTGAGTGCTGTAGGGCCACATATCTTTGAAAATCCCATTTTACGCACTTTTGCATCGTGCGATTGGATTGTGATATAAATTATATTTCCGACAAATTTCAAAGGTAAGGAACAGCAATCTCGATAACTCTACCACTCCGAATTCATAGTCGAACGTGTGCAGCGCAAATAATTCGAAATATTGATGGGGTGTAGAGCATAGGAAGAGTGGAAAACGAATAGTGCACGTCTATTTGAAGAAATTCAAACTTGAAGTTGAGGAAGACTGGGGAAGTCCTTCTGCAGTTGACCATGATAAAGTGGAGGATTTACTGGATTCAAATTCAAGTTCAACTACTCGCCAACCTGTGAAATTCAGTGTAAGCGTCCAAACTCTTCCTGAGCATCTAAAGAAAATCGGAAAGTCGAAGAAGCTTGATAAACCAGTGCCGCATGTATTGAATGACTATCAAAAGAGTCGCCGTTTTGAGGTATCGTCATTGCTTCTGTTCAATCAGAATGACCCATTGCCGTACCGTATCGTAATGTGCGACGAGAAGTGGTTCTCCTACAAAATCTTGAACGATGTGGTTAATGGTTGGAACAAAATGAAGCTTTGCAGCACATTCCAAAGCCTGTGCGAAAAGAATGTCATACTGTCAGCTTAGTGGTCTACGGTTGGCCTGATCAATCACAGTCTCCAAAATCGGGATGAAACGAATACGACGGGAAAGTACGTCCAAACAGTCGGCGAAATTCACCGGGATCTTCAAAGGCGGCGCCACTTATAGATTAACAAGAAGTGATCAATCCAATTCTTCACCACTACAACGCGCGGCCAAACGCACTATCGACGCTCCTAATGTTGACAGCTGAGCTAGGAAACACTGGCTAATCCACCATACTCGCCTAACTTCTCGCCTATCGACTACAACTTCTTCAAGCATTTTGAGAAAGTCTTGTGGTAGAAATGGTCCAGAAACCAGGCGGAGACCTGAACTTGCTTCAACGACCACATCACCTCAAGATATCAGGAATCTTGACTGACCAGTGTATATAAACTTGTTTACGATTTAAAAAATTTGCAGATTTTAACGGTTTTTGTTTCACTTAGTGAAGTTTATTCAGCGCCGATATAGCTCTTTGAAAATACGGCTCGAAACCGGACATTAATTTATCCAGAACCTAGCTGAACCACCCACTTTGAAAAAAAGGCATTCACTAGACGACAAATCCTCTTTTAATTCACAAAAACTGTTTCCTGATTATGATGAACACCTGCAAATACGCAGCTAATCCACTACGGACGAGTGACCGTGGTGATGCTTCGAGAACGCACTGCTCCGCTTAGCTATTCTGATACTCTAGGGAGAGGTAATTTTGACAGTGAAATGAAAATTGTTCCAACGCCCACAAGAATTATGAAGATATGTAGTCTAAACGACATTCTCAAAATGGAAAACAAACTAAGATCTCAAAAAAGTTACTCGGTAAAAACGGTTTATTCCAGGAACTTATCAATTCTCACGTGTGCGTCATATGCAGCATTCGCACTTCTCTACATAAATCGAGCTGTAAACCCCTTCATATATGTGTTCTTTTCGGAGTCGTTTAAAAGGAATGTAGGTTTTATTGTTCAACAGGTGTAAAACAACATCATAAAGAAAGCCGGTACAAAAAGAGTAAAGAAATGTTATTAATGCTCACACTTCAGGAGATGATTGGTTTTTGTAGCCAATGTTTCAAATACTGAAGATCCATAGGAGAAGAGCTCACTAGTCTTTCTTTTGCTTTCAAGAACTATTTTTAATACCTAGTAGTAAGTGTGAAAAATAGTCCATGATTCTCATCGGTAGAGAACTTCATTATAAAGGGTGGAATAAATCAATCAATGAACACATAGAATTTTATGGAAGCTTCAGATTCATTATTTAGAAAAGTCAAAAATTTTATAAAGCATGGCAGAAAAATGGTTAATATTACAATTCTTGGAGTGTTTTCCGTTTTTGAGATTGTATATTGTATAATGCCAAAAACAATAAGGGCTCGTGTAGCGGAGCGGTTAGAGGCGCCCTGTAATACACATCGGTTCGATCCCGCGCACTAGGCTCACCAAGCGTTCCATCCCACCGGGATCGGCAAATTGGTACCAGACCTGTCCGACAACACAGTAGCACTGACTCGATATATAAGTAGTCCACAGCGAGTCATTGTTTAGGTTAGATGTGCATTAAATCACCTCCAACGATGCTTAGTGAAGTTGAATGCACGGCGCATCCCTCGGGTATTGATCACGCCGAGATCTTTTAGAGCTTTATGTTGCATAACATCTGGCATAGGCAATCACTGAAAACGAGCTCTAGTGCTCTTTATCTAAACTTTCTTTTGATAGGGCTATAACATTTGTATTACTTACAGGTTTCTGAATTGGTTTACAAGAACGCTGGTCTGCAGAATAAACAAAGCGGTACCGTAATGATCAAAAGGCTACCTCCACACGTCAATGAATGTTTCAACTTTAGATAACACGTGTTGATTCTCCACACGATAATGTAATAAACAGTGTAAAACCGGAATTCTACAACGACAAAGTCTTAAGCTAAGCATTCAGACATCTTCATTCAAAAATTGTTTCCATACCCGCGGAAGCTAACTCTCTATCAAGACAATTCACATGGCTGCGAAATATTGGTAATCTAAGAATGACAACAGTAATCTCTTAGAGTCAAGAAAAACTGTCAGCACAATATCAACTGTTACGCAAAAACTCTAAAAATTAACATTCATAGAGATAACCTAGCTTGCATAGCAGAAAGAGTAGTAAATATAGAGTGAAATTAAAATGATAGCTATGTATACCAGATTTCGAGCGTGAGAATGTATTGGTAGAGACATGCCACCTGTTTCGCAGTGATGAATTAATTTCTCCAGTTCTGTGCTTTATCTACTTGTCTATTATTGTCACTGAAATCGTGCGAAATCAATTATATCACAGCGATACAAGTTTAGTAACAGTGAAGAATGTCTACTATGAAACCTATGACGAAATGAACAACACCGGTTCTATGAAAAACAAACACCGGAACAAAACAACCTACAATAAGGGCGTATTCAAAAAATAAGGTGAAAAACGGAAGATAGCCATTTCGAGAATAATCACCCATGCCAAATCGTTCATGTTGCTGATACATACGAGAGGCGTCAAGCTGTACAGAATTCTCTATACACTTGGCGACGCTCGTATTTAACAGCTAGCAATTGTTGCCTAAAGCGAAATCTTTGCGTGCAAATAGCGAACCGTAAAACTATCGTAAAAACGTAATACCCTTTCTGACAAGCTAATATAAAACAGAAAAAAGCGAAAATCTCCAAATTAAGGTACTAATGACTAGACCACTGCTTAAGGATAGATCATCGAAAACCATCGGCACAGAACATTTATAGTAGCTATAAAGAAGCTATAACTAATAGTCGGAATCTAGTCCATCTAGGATGCCTCAAGCTTTCTAGTTCGAATACTCCACCATCTGGAAGAACAACAGTAACTCGACCCATAAAGTCAAGTCAACTATTGAGCCAGCAGCTCAAATGGTAACCCTAAGCAGCTGGACATGAATACATTCCCGAATGCCGTGATGTGAATAACTCGATGTAGTCTCTTGGCGACTTCAATTTGAAAATGAATAATTCGCATGAATACAAGGAGATTGATCTAATGAATGTTTTAGGGACGATAAAAAAATCATGACACTCATCCATCTATAGGATACGTAGCACAGTTACACCAGAACGATAACCATTATACACCGTCTCGTATCGTAAAATCCGATCGGTGGCAAACATGCGAACATCTGAAATAGCAGTGTTTTAGTTTTCTCCGGAAAATTTTTTGAATCACGTCTTTTGCTTCAATAATCGTTTTCCTTTCACCTTGATATGACTAATCATAACGTGCTCGGTTCACTGATAACCTAGAGCGGGGCTAGTAATAAAACAATATTCGGCTGACGTTTCGACACTTCTGCCTTCGCTTCTTCAGAGCAGGAATGATCCCATCTGATTGCCTACAGTTGTTTCTTCTTCTACAATAATTTGTTTTGTGAGCGCATCGACTAGAAACCAGTGAATCATCGTCCAAATAAATTAGCCTCGCTCGGCAATCTTCTTTCATACAGGACGGTTATTGATACTGATTGTCAATGGATAATCGTTTGTTTTTCTCCGTACAATCGATCTTGCGGCAGTTGGTATCAGCTAGCACAGAGCATAACAATATTTCAAAAACATCGTGTTAGTAATTCCCAAGACCGACTTCTTAACAACCTCGGCATTGACGAATAATTCGGATTCTCGTATGAAGTGCTGAGATATTTGCAAAACTCCGGACCACAGCTGTATGCAGTGGGGAACGAACACGCGCTGTTGTCCTTACCGGGGAGCAGCGCACTTCACCACTACACCATCCGAGTCACAACATACCCTGCCATTAAGAAGAAAAAGGCAGTAAATAAACGAGTTAAAATTCGGATTCTCCCGATTAGTATGCATGCGGTTGTTATTATCTACTATACATTAATAAAAGCTAACGTTTCGGCAGACTTCGGCTTCTTCAAAGCTTAAAAATGTCAGGTTAGCCGCAACGTGAAAGTGGAGGACAGCGGTGAATGTGCGAAGCTATTTTATATCTATAGAAATTGAAATTTATGTCCCATCAGCTTTCTCTTGAGGTTATGGAAGTGTTTGGCTGACTATTTGGCGGTTAACTGCCGAACGTAGAGGAAAGCCAGATTTTGAAATACTGTTACACTTTGTGCTAGCTGATAATTATACCGACCGCTGCACAATGGATTTTCCGGAGAAAAACTAAACGATCACCAACGTACAATCACTACTTACAACACTTCTGTATAAAACAGCACTGCTAAGTGAGGTTATTTCATACAGGCGGTGCTCCACCGGATTCGAGTCGATGCGATCACGAAAGTCCACATCAGAAAATGGAACAACTATAGGCAATCAACTGGGATGCATGCAGCGTTGAAGAAAAAGAAGACGAAGAAAATTTCAGCCGAATTAGGCTTCTTTACCAACCATATTCTAGCTTATCAATGAAAGAAATTCATTCTCTACTCACTACAATGATTCTCAATGATGATGATGCATGAGATCACTCAGAAACAATATTACGCACTCAATATTCTCATGGATGAATGCTGTGTAGAAAAAATAACTTTATTTCAATAATACGCTATTCTTCAGCTCCGGTATCCAACTTAAAAGCATTTTTTATGGCGAAACTTGCCGTCCCAAAAACCATTACAGTTCTGACGTAGTTTCACAACACTGGCTCGCAAAGATGAAACGGATGCTTACATAAAATTGCACAGCAACATTGCGGTGATACCCAAATGGGACAATGCATACAATCATCACCAAACAGAGCTGCCTTGTCTTAATTATTGAAGACACTTGTAAAAAAATCTTTTGAACACCCATAAAAACATATACACATACAAATAACGCAAAACTTCTAACTTCGCATGTCTACCGCGTGGAATTACCCTAATTCTAGATTAGACGAACCAGATAAAACTCAAGCAACAACCAAACAGATTGCTGTAAGCAATAAACGGTAGCCGTTTTTCACAACAATTTTCTGGGAGCAACTAGAAAACAAGCCGTTAACGACTTAACAAAACTATAGAAAAGGCTTCGTTTAACTGCTCCGAAGCTTCCATGTTACTACTTCGTAGGCGCTGCTACTCAAAAGTCCTTTATTAATGAATTATTTCAGATTAGTTCCAAGAATTGAATTCTACAGTCTCCAATTATATCAGCACATAAAGATCACCATCGCTCGACGACTCCTCACTGAAAGAGCTGCGGAATATATATCGAATATTCGTGGCCTACATAAAGATTCCACAACCGAGATGTCACCATTCTACAACGGTACTAACATCGACATCAGAAGATCAGAGTTAGGCAAAGCGATACCTTTTCGCCAAAATTATTTACCACCACCGTTGAGAACGACACACGAACATTGGAATTCGACAAAATGGGAGTGTAAATCGATGGTTGGTAATTACGGAACGAATGCTTGCCAACTTTGATAAAGCTTGTGGAAAGATTGGTCTTCGACTAAATCTCACAAAAACGATGTTAATGTCGAACGGATTAGTATGCTCCATTGACGCTCAACAGAATGAATATCTCCGAATGATCCAGTTACGTCTATCCAGGTCAGGAGATCACCATGATGAACGAAGGTGTTCTAGAGCTGCGCAAAAGGAAACGAGCGGCTTAAAGAGCTTTCAACAATATCGAGGATGTAGTGAAGAGAACAAAGACTATCGACTTTGCCCCTACCTTTTCGACTCATTAGTACTTTCTGCCTTAACGTATACGCCAGAAACCTGGTCGCTGCGTAAACAAGATGAAAGATCACTCAGCGTTATTGAACGCACAGTCGAAAGGACGATGCTAGAAGTATCCCGTTTCACACAAGGGACGGGATCCGAAGCTCCGACCTGCGCCAACGATCAAAAATCAAAGATGCCGTTCAGAACACGAAACAGTAGAAGACTGGGCCTAACACGTAATGCGTATGAATGACAACCGATGGACAAGAACCGTCAGTGGCTGG